CCCAGCGGACCTATCCATGCGTTCTCGTTCAGTTGGGGGGTTTCTTAGCTGCGCGTCGGTATTAGGGGCATAATATTAAATTGAAATCGTTTCTTCGGTCCGGGATTCATCTAGTCACTGGTCTCACCTCCCCAACGATCAATATTGTCGTCGATATTTCCCCTGTGTCTGCATTCGCCTGCAGAACTCGATCATGCACACGCGCAGTCCGTTCGGATCATTTCGCACTTTGTTTACCCTATTCGATGTCGCCAAACCTACAATGGCGGTGTAAATAAAAAACCTGAGTGCTATCCCATTGGTTCTGAACTAAACAGACGGACACAACTACGTGTGTCTGTGTATGTGTTTATAGATGTCGAGTACATATGCAACAAACCTCGACATTGTCTGCTCTTTTTCTTCTCTGTCTTCTGTTCTCAATGCGGGTCTCAACTAATGCACCATGTTTTGACCGTTTTAATTCGATCACGTTGCCAATGGCCTAGACACGAAACGAATCAACACCGATGTGGAAGATACATAGGTGCACTGGACTGGGTGTCTTTTTCCAGCTGGAATATGAACCCACGGAGAGGGAACCTGGATGAAAAATGAACCCTCTAATCAATTCAGTCGTCCTCCTTTTTCGAAACACTCTAGGGCAATAATCATCTTTACTACTAATATCCGGCAACATTCGAGATCCGATTCCAGAGCAAAGATCAGTTTCTTCGGCTGATCTTATCTACGAGAACCTAGACATTCAAGTGCATTCTATGGTGCGGTTTCAGCCAAACCCATCAGTTATACCTATTGTAAGTGAGTTTGTTTGTAATGAGTCAAGACAACAATTCCAAAGATCATGTAACCACCTGTATTTGGTGTTTTTCATCATTCACCTCCCCCCCCCCTGAGCTTGCATTCTGATGGTTTGACTTTCAGTTGTCTGTGGGGTCAGTTGAGAAAAGCTAACACGCTTATTGAATTTGAACAATGACACCAATGGCAAGAAAAGCTTGTCTGCATCCCCATGCATCTCTCCATTTCACTCGACATTCCATTCATTCGTAAAATCGTGGGTTGCTTCATTTCTGTTTGATGTTGCATCCCGGTGCTGAGGTGAACCGTCTGAAGCGTGTGTGTACCGTAGCTGGTAAATCAGTTCCTATTTCCCTTCTTTCGGCAACCGGGACTGCAAGAGAAGGTGGGTAGCAAAATATGAGAAGGCAGAAAAAACTGCACCCGTTGGCAACGTTGCAGTTTTCGTCTCTTCTAGAGTACACTTCCACGTAAATCAGGCGCGAGCGTGGGAAATGAGGAGTTTGATGGTACACTGGTATCCGTACAGTAATATTGTCTTGAACGGTGTGCCGAATATTTTATGACAGTTCCGATGATCCCCAGTGATATCAGGTCTACCAACTTCTGCCGATTGATATTAGCTTCTCAGATGATATAAATCTCCTGGCACCATTAGCTTCTTCGGGTGTTTGTGGGTTAGGCTTAGTCTTGGAGTTGACAAATCTCATGGCTTCAACATGTGATAGTGAACGAAATGAACGGTGACAATCGGTCATCGGACCAATTCACACCAGAGAGGATGAACACCCTCGGAGAACCACAGAGGATTTGGCTTGATGAACGTCGTCACAAAGTTTCTTGATGTTATAATGTCTGGTGCACATGAACTGTGTTCCCGTGAGTTCGAACTCTATTATACATGGATTAGGCTGCATCGCCCACACTCACACCCATCAACGAATTCTGGAACACAAACATTACTTTCTGTCTTCCTTCATCTCAAAGTGGATTCCCACTCAGTTGACTGCACTGTACTCCAGCCCTGATTCTTCTTGAAGGGTGTGTCATAGAAGTTTATCTCATAATGGCGAGTGTTTTCCATTGGTAATCGAAGTCAACTTTGAACTCACAGCGCTTTATCAACCGTTTTCAGTACAGAAAGAGATGCTCTCAAGCGTTGCTCCGTCTTTTTATTTCTAATTATCTCTGTACCGTATATAACTCCGTAAATAGCCCCTTCCTCGTGCGAGGATAGGGATATTGAACTGCTCCTAAGCGGCACTCTTAATGATATTGAGTACGCAACTAACGTTGCAGTGTTCAGTGTGGATTCAGCAAATTTGCAGGTTTTTCCGGATGGTTCGAGTTTTAGTATATATTCTTTATTACACACCTTTGTGTGATGAACAGCAGATGGGGAGGACACGCTGTCCAGTGATGGAAACTAGTAACCCAAGCCTCGGGACTTCGAATGGCGAACCATATAGGCCACGCTAGGTTAATTGTGGTTCGGCATTCAGTTTACACCTCCAAAGTGGAAAATGGTTTCATAGGATTGGGTGGGTACAGCTCCCAACCTCATTCAAGTAAAGAGGCTAGTTAGCTAGAAGATTTTTACCTTTTGAACAGCTGTATCTCCTCGAGCGATAAAAACTCTGGTGAAGTTCGCGCACACGTACAGAATGCTTGGTTGACTTTCGAACAACTGATATATCTATGCCACGGCTGCGATATTCGACTTTTTGTTAAGTGTCTGGTGTACGTTGCAACAGTCCGGTCGGTTCTTCTGTATGGTACAAAATCTCGACTACGGGAACCATAGTAAAACAGGCGAAGAGTGTTCAATCACTGCCGTCTAAGCCGTACTGGCATACTCGATGTGACTGAATAGCGAAGTTAGACCCAATGTTTTTCCTCGCGGTCGCGCACTGAAGGACGGGCTCCTCATGTAATACAATGGCTGGAGAATGTGGTGCTTATATCATCAAATACATTCAGCATGCAAGCAAATATTTCTCGAAAGAAGGCAAGAAATAGTTGACTTCAGACCAGATATGAGAACCTTAAAACCATGACCAGTTGACCTGATCGGCTAGTTATCTTAAGATTTCCGGTCTGTGGACCTTACGCCCAACCCACTCTCTTGTTGTCCAACGCCAAGACTGATGCATCTTTCTACTTTCTACAGCTATCTGGTTCAGCGGTAATTCTTGTCGTTCCCTTGATACGGCTCCTAACTTTTCGCTTCATCCATTTAGTTTTTCTTCTGTGGTCGACCACACGAGTAACTGATGGACAGCTGTCCAGAAACTCTTCGCAGGAAGGACAAAAGTAAAACTATTCGGAGTGGTGACATCGTTAGTTTCGCATTTTTGTGTTCCAGATGTTTTATTGAATCAGTTAGTAAACGGTAGAACTCTTCATAATTCACAATAACTCAAATAACTTTGGCAAAAGGGGCCTGTTTATCGAATGCTTGTAACTGTTCGTTTATTTGTCCTCGACTTTCATCTCAGTTCCCGATTGCATTTTGCTCGATGCTCCACTCATTTAGGCAATGATTGGATCGGTGTTTGATGCCGACCCCGTGTGCATTCGCGTTCTGTTTTGTGCATGTATATGTGCTATCTGCGACTGACTATTCCTTTCCTCCTCTGCTTCCGCTTGAAGACAATTCAAACACCGTCTTATCCGTACCGCTTTTTGGGGGAACACTGCCATTTCCGTGGTCAATCGATTCCGTCAGTTTGGCATGCGCACGCACGCAAACAGACATAGCCGAACGCGCATACTCCCGGTCGAATCTAGCCAACACACTGGTGACGCACCCGTTCCGCGTTAACACCACCCCCTCCAACCCGCTCTTCGCCCCCGGGGCATATGTCAGTTAGGCACGTGCAGTTAGCGTGCGATGATGCATCGATTAATCTGTCCATACATATACTGATAATCATTCCATGGAGTGAATTGCCGGAGAAACGTACACACGTACTGATCGATGTGCCGGTCCATAATTCTTTTGGTTTGTGCGTTGTTCCTCAGGAAAATGGTTGATCGATATGAATGGAGTTAATTGGTTATACAGCACACAATTAGCTAGTGTTTTGTCTACTTTTATGATCAAACTTAAACGGACTGTTTCGTCGCGACTGTTGTACTAGGAAAAGCTGACCAAGTGGTTATTGAGATCCTCCGCTGCTCTTCATTTATCTCCTAGATATCCTTTTTGATCTTATCGTGTTCGAAGAGCATATGTACCCATGTCCAATCTGAACTGCCAATCGTATTCATCGATCGACTTGTCAGTTTTCGAATTGGCACTGCAGCTGTGCTTACATGGATTTGACCAAGAGCATTTCTCGGGGATTCGATTTTGGGTACACACGACCGCATTTCACGGCTCGTCGATATTGCTGCAGGCCGCTACATGTGGACAACCGGCATCCGGGTAGTCGATTGAACCACTTAATGCTCGCGTAGAACATTGTCACACGCGACTGAACACGGGGCGATAGGCCCACATGCTCGAATGTTTGCTGCGGATTAACGTTTACATCTGATTTACCACTTGTGACCAAACTGGCGTATACATATGTGCGCGCGTGATCCGGTGTATTCATTTTGTTCTTTATACAGGGTCGACCTCTCTCCGGATATCTTCGTCGACAAAGCATATTTTCTCGGGTATCCTCAGTCGAGCTCGTTCGGGAGCACAGTTTTGCAGATCAGAGTACCAGCGGCGTGTTGTACTTTGGCTTCGTCATTGCCAATCAAAATAATTCAAATAGGCAGCCAAAATTCCCGCATGGAATCGCATCGCCATTGGTTGTACTGATTGCCATGTTTACAAAAGTACTCCCTCTTCTGTGAGAATACACGGAGTTGGTCAACCGGTATTTGAGTCATAAGGTCCGTCGGCGGTGGTGGCCCAGTGGTAACGTCACCAAATTACCACCTCGGGGAACGTGTGTTCAAACCCCATCACCATTGCCTAACTTTCCCCATGGCAGCCCTTTGATTGGCCGCTTCCCCCTTCCTGAAAATAGTATTATTGTGTATTCAATAAAAGGAACTAAAACTAAAAAGAAAAAAGAATTACATTTGGGAACTATGCTTCTTTGCACGATTTAGCGGAGCATGTCCCGCAAATTTGAATAATAGTTGACACCCTAACCTCTCATTACTGAATAACTGGCACAGTTTATGATAGCCTCAGTATGTTCGAGGAGTGAGTGTCTTGGATTGTGGGTGGTCACCCTTCCCTTGCACCTCACGAAATTCTCCTGTACGACTAAACGTCTCAATTGTCCCGTGCTGAGAAAACCCTACTCACCACTTTCATGTGTCCGAGTTGTTGTCTCACCAGAGTGAGAAGACGAAAGTCGACATGCGGTGCTATAACCGGTTTGGTGAACGACTATTAGTTAACCTAATGGACTTGATTAAACCCCTGATTCCAAACCAACCAAGAAGAGGAATACGAACCTCACACACCTTCCTGGTTGTGGTAGTAGTCACCGGCTTGATTAGGTATCGTGGTCCACAGGATATCTTAAACGTTCGACCCCGTCTAGAGGTTGTATAATCTGGTGCACTGGACACATTTCCACAGTGGATTGCGATTGTTTTCATACGGTCCAGCTGTGCTGTGATTCAAGCTTTGGGTAGCCGAATGATCCGGCTGTGAATCTCACAAAGAAATCCATCTGCTTCGACCTGGTTAACGTGTCATATGCTAATCATGAATGGATTTCTCAGTTATAAATATTTTGTACTGTTATTTGTTTAGCACACAGTCTAGACTCACACACGTATGAAATAATTATCATCATCATAATAATAACAGCAATAGTAAAAATAACAATAATATCAGTTCAGTTCTTACAACCATTAACAATGCACTTTCGTGCGCCGGTATTGGTTGCTGTCTTTTGCTTGCCGATTTGGATAAAATAGCAGAATGATGATTAGAATGTTGAGAGCAGATTTAAGCTAAAGGTAGCACATTTTCGTGGACTGAAGTTACAAGAATCATGGGTAGATGCATGAGCGCTACTGTTTGCGACACCCAACCATATCGCTCAGTGTCTCTAACCACCGAATAATAATAATAATATAGTATATTGTTGGATTCCCCCAGTCATAGTTGAGGGCGGTCTGGGTGAATACACACATCGTCTACAGACATTGTATCTAGGACATCCGGCAAATCTGTTAAATCCGATTTCACTTTATCTTCTCCAGCTGATCGTACATTAAGTCTAATTTCCCTGTACCCCTTCTCCCGCTCCCAAATACCCTAATAGCCACATGTTGTGTCAGTTTTCCTTTGCCTCTCTCAAATGATGTTCCGTTCGCTCAGACCAAACAAAATCCAGCAACACAACGGACTGAACTTCATCCTTTCTGTCCCGTTGACTATGTCGACTGAATTGCACGAATGATTAATTGCTGTTGCTCACACAGACATACTCCACATTTCTTTACTACGCAATCTATGCTTCCTCATTTTTTTGCACAGCATGCGTAATGGCGTGTTTCCGTCAGTTTTTCGTTCTACATGCATTAATCATGCGATTTTTGCATTTTCTCTTTGAATCGAGCGGTACACGCTCATTCTTATTCAAATAGGCACATTTGTGTGTGTATGTGTGTATTTGTCCACCTTTTTGAATTGCTCATAATGTTATTATTCTATGATATCTCATCTCGTTTGTTCTTTCCTCGTCCCCCTCTATCCCGGCAGTGATATCAAACCGGATAATTTTCTCATGGGCCTGGGGAAACGGGGAAACCTGGTCTACATTATCGACTTTGGTTTGGCGAAGAAATACCGGGACAGTCGATCTCATCAACATATCCCGTATCGGGAAAACAAAAATCTCACCGGTACAGCACGTTATGCCAGTATCAACACGCATTTGGGTATCGGTAAGTTTTACCCTATGTCTCATCTTATCTCAATCCGTGCTTTGCACGTGTTGGAAACGATGAACCGCAACTTATTTTTTTTACGCTAGTTGTTCACTCATTAGTCAAACAGATTAACTCGTCATGGGCGCACTTCCAGCNNNNTCCAGCTCTACGATCTGAGGTTACTACCGCTATCAACCAACTTTGGTGTTGGGCAACTTCGCTATCGTTCAGCTCAATACAACTCCCATCTTGTTCGTTTTTGGTTCAGTTTGTAAACCTATTAACCCTGCACTTTCGTNTTTCGTGCGCCGATTATGGTTGCTGTCTTTTGGCTACCCATTTGGATGGGTAGTAAGAGAAAGACAAGAGAGTTGAAAGTAAAGTCAAAAAGAAAATAAAGGATTTCGGTGGACTAAGGTTGAAAAGCAATCGTTTACGATATCCGTCCGTATCACACAGTGTCTCTGTCCCCGGGAAGTCAGGTAGGGAGTCTAACGGGACCTATGTGATTGAGTCTCCTGGTTAGGGTTTTCATACCCTCTCGCCAGGTCTTAGTTTGACCGCTCTTGGCTTTCTTCCACCCACTACATGCCTTGGCAAATATCGCGCACCGTGGTAATCTATTTGATGACATGCGTAACACATGCTCCAACCAACGTAATCTGTGGAGGTCGACCACTTGCTTCAGTGGAGGACCACTACTACGTGAAACTCTACGCGTGATCTCAGCATTGCTCATCGGGTTTCCCCGCCACATTCACACAATGCGGCGTATGCAGCGATGTTCGAACACCGACAATACATCTTCATCCTGTTTCCCTAATGACCAAGTTTCCGTGGCGTATAACAGAACTGGCTGAACTGCCGCAGCATACACCTGACCGTTCATGGATAACCGAATTTCAAGGCCGCGCTACAGATGTCTCAAGTTCGCAAATACCAACCTGTATATGAGCTGGCACTTCATCCGTGATGCGTCCACCACAAGTGTTAAACGTACCATCCGATGAGAAAAAGCACCATGGCTGTTCCCATTCTAAATTTCATCCACACGGCAGTCTTGGATTGCGCTTAGTTTTGACTACGTGGGGTTCGTTATCGAGAAATGCAGGTGTGCCAAGTAGAGATTGCAGTCGGGTGCCATTTAAGAAAGATCAGCCGTTTTAGTGATGTGTCCCGCACACAATCTGTCTGTGATGACCCGTGTTCTTATCGACTTGACACCAATACTTGCTCAACTGTTATGGTGAGCGAATGTGTTCATAGTTCACTTAGCTTTCTCGGAGTTCAGTGAACACGTGACCGATAATCCAGAGCATACAGTCGATGAAGGGCTCATATTTACCGTTGATTTTTTTAAAGGTTTAGTCTAGCTGCAACATGTGCCTGGTTGCGACAGGTGCAGTGGAAGCTGCAGACGCAATAATTTTTTTCTTATCACACGCATTTGTGTGATGTACAGCAAACGGGGTGGACTCCATTAGTCGCGGAAACCTGCTGTTCATTGACGGAAACCGGCAACCGGGACTTTGAGTACCGAACCACATATGGCCCCGAAAGGTTAAGTGTGGTAGTAAGGCGGACGACAGCCAAGCTGCCTACTGACAAGTTAGGGTGGTGGGATTCGAACTTCGAATCGTACGATTCTAAGCTCGCTGGTGACAGCAACTAAAACACCACCATCACTACACAGGGATAAACGCGGAATATCGATGTTCCCACGCTGCTGTTCACGCATCATCGCATGGGTCTACTGGGACAACCGAACAGTAGTCATTGCCAAGGTTAAGTGCTCAAAAATGAGGGGCCTTTTTGATCCACCAACGCAATTGTTCAATTCTCATAGATTGCTTTAACTGAATCCCTTGTTACCAGTTACTTCCAATACGATTTCTCGGTTTTTGATCTCTGCCAGGACAGATAGAGGTTGTTATGGGGAGCTAGAGGTTGACCGGATCATGAGCGGGTGTGATTGCGAATCTGGACCCTTGGCTTTGGTCATTTTGAGGCTTCCCCATTCAACTAGTGACCTATTCGAACGCTAGGAATCGATTAATGCAGTATCCATTAATCCAGGTTTTTACTCGTTCACCCACCTATTTGTTGGGTTTGTCTTGGTAGCCCTCTCTCAACCAATTCTTCACTTTTATTGTCTTTCATTAATTAACCAGATTCGAGGACAGAAGACAACTCGCCCCCCCCCTCCGGTAGCACCAAACTACAGGGTCGATGTTTGTAAAAGTAATTTGTAAGCGCCGGGTGATCGTAGATTTATTGAAACATGCATAGGCTCGAGCCTAAACAATCCGACGGACACTGATTAAGTCAATCTGGTCAGCTTGTTTGCTGCATGGCTGCTACAAATTCGAACGCGTTTGAATGAAAGTCATCAGCCACTTGTTGCTCAGCTCAATGAAACGGATAGAGTGATTTGGTTCCACATTTTTCCTCAATATGAATGTTTCATTGTCGATGACATATACACACAGCCTTCGTAGAATCTGAAAAGGTGCATGATAGAGCCTGATAGAGCCTGCCGCTCTTACTCTACAATCGGGCCCAGAGCAATAACCTTTGTTTTATATACCCAAAATGCTGGCTGGGGTTCCACTGCACATGCGCAGCACAGTTGGAGTTCGGGAATTCACGTCTCTCATTTTTTTTAGTTTTTTTTTCCACAATTTTTTTTCAGTCAACACTTCCATTCACATACTGGTTCTCATAACACAGTTAGACAGAAACCAACAAGACCGACTGTCGTTAACACGAGAAGCAGCATTGTTTGGTGTGTGTGTGTGTGTGTGTGTGTGTGTGTGTGTGTGTGTGTGCGTCTCAGAAATTTGACCCAATCCACCTGTTTCATTAGAGCAGATGAGGATTCGATTCGATTATGAGGTAAATTTCGTTGTTTACGTAACAAGCTAAGCACGAAGAGAAATTCTAGTGTTATATTCCGAAAAGGCGGTGCTGGTCGAGGAGAGTTCTTTATTGCAGAATACAGATTGAAGGTCACTAATTTTGCATGCATAACACGAAAACCTTATCAGAAACATGCCATCGCCACACATCGCGACACAGATTAATGGGTAGAGCAGGCAGTGTTCATTCTTCCCAAATATATTACTTGGTCCTTGATGGTCTTGTTCTATTTTTAATCACCGAGAGTTACCGCCTACTCACAAGTGAGTAATATCTCACGACACTAGGAAGCACTGTTCTCATCAGCTATGCGCCAGTCCACGGATCCATCTTTGGATCGAACTGGTGGTCTCGCGGATAGAACGCAAGTATATCATTCACTGGACCACCAGGTAATAGATCAGACCGTTATCCAGTTTGTCTCTTAATGATGTAGTGCAATTCATCTTTGCCAGCTTTTTGCGGCCATCTCATCTTGCTCATCTCAGTACTAGCTTTCGGAGTTTTGAACCATTCTTAACATGCGTATTTGTCGCCTGAGTGTTTCGAGACAAAATGAGAAACTATCTGATCAGTTGCACAGTGTTCATGTGATGATTGTATGCTCGTGTTCTGCTTGTTTGTTCCCGCGTTCGAGCCAGAATGCTTGAAACGGTATGTACACAGAGTTCGATTATGCACTCTGAGTGTTGACGATAGTGGCTCTCCTTCTTCCTCCTCCCTCAAAGTAGGTATAATCCCCGTCCACCTTAAACTTTTCCGCTAACCTTGTATGCATTGCCGGTTTGGCAGCGACCAGTGAAGTTCGCTTCACCGTATTTTGCTGTACGATGATGATGATTGCGTTCTAGCCTCCGTTATTAGGTCACTTGATTCGCATCATTGATTTGACACAATAAAGTTGAAACTGCTGTACAGCCCACACTTTGTTTATTCTGTACTCTACGAAATTCGTCACGTAATGTATCTGTTTGTTCATAATTGTCATTTATCAGTTGCTTATGGTTCCCGTCGCTGAATGTGAGTAACTCTCTCCTTCAGTTCGATTTCCTTTTTGCGATGTAACATTGAAGTCGGTCAAATTGTCGAGCGAAGCAGTTTCATTGTGTAGGAGTGTGTTGGTTTCGTGCTTACTTAAATGTCTATTCAATTCCTTTCGTTCGCCAGGTTGATTTATGATCATTTTGCCGCTCCGGGCTTTCTACGGACAAGAAAAAACAAGTTTTAAGTCGAACCATAGCAGCAAGTGGGGATGGGGTTAGGGGAGCAACCAGATTGAAAATCGACTCAGTTCTACCTGATTTGCAAATGATCTGATTGGATTAGGTCATTATCTTCTTTCAGAACCAGTGACTCATACGAAACTGCTGTTTGTATGCCCGCCCGTTCGATCCACATTTGTTTGTACCTATGCGTGAAACAAATCAGACATGTGCTGTGCCGTCAGACAGTTCGGTTAGTCCTATCGGTAAGGTGACGAAGATAGCAGCAAAAGTAGTTGTTGTAGTCGATGCCCTGGCGATGGAATTACAACCAATCTGTCATGAAACTCGGATTCATAAAGAAAAAACATTCCCACGAAATTCGGTAGTTGCGCTCTGAATTCACAATTTGTTCCTTCTCACTATTTGTTTCTGTATTCGCACGATGTTTCCGGAACTGTTAGTCCCTCTATTGTTTTTTTCGTAGAACACATATGAACCAACACGTCTATCAATCGATAAAATCGATTTCCTTGCAAATCGAGTTTACGGATCGATCAGCTTTGTGTGTCTATGTCACAGAAACAGCTGTTCGTTTGGAGGGCTCTGGCAGAGGAGATGGGGTGGGAACAAGGATTCGATTGTAACCATTTTCTGTTCACACCGTCTATCCTAGTTAAGTCAAGCATAGGTATTGCTGTTCTCACGTTCGGAGGCACATATCTGACGGTTGCGTGTGTGAAATACATCACACCTGGGTCGAAAGGTCATAGGGCACGATTAGGAAGTCCAACATTTGTGAAGCTGTTTACGTTTTGAACTTGCCCTACGATTCAGTCGCCAACGTTTATCATCGCGACCGTTACCTTCGCAATTCATAGTCCTTCCCTTCCCACCTAATCTTGTTTCTCTTTCACGGATGTTTTTCCAAGTGTTTGCTGCTGACGTATACAAGTCATTGCACAGCTCACAACAAATCATGTGATCCGGGTTGGGAAATCTAATTTCAGTCATTTCGCGTCCGATTAACGTTCTTCACCAATGACCGACTAGTCCTTGGATGTGTAGACGTGATAAAACATGTGACACTTGCGTCGGTTTTGTACTCCTTTCTGGTGAACGAATCAGTCATGTGAACACTGTTACTTCATACAGACAGTTGACAAGGCGATATTAGGCCAATCACCTAGCCGATGTACTCCTTACTTTTCAATGAGTGTTCAACTAGTTGCTTCACCGCCACATTTCGCATTTGCTTTTGTAATCGTTAGTGGAGAACTGCCGCGATTTATCTGCGTAGACAGCGTTTCTCCAAACAAGTTTGTTCAATCGCAGAGATACCACCGTATTTTGCCAATCTGTTTTTTTTCTCAGAATGTCTTACCAATTTGACACAGATTCACGGATTTCATTCAGTTCACGCAATATCTCGTTGCATATGTGTCTTGAGATTGAGATGATTGGTTGACCAGTTAGCATGGGCCCATCTCATCCCTACGTGACAATGCTCCAGCGTGTTTATACTTTAACTTTTTTGTTAAAAGACCGACATTTCAATGAAACGTTGCAACGACGTGGATTTTGAGTCTGATTGAGTACTTGAATTTTTGTATGGGGCTAGTTTAATAAGTATTGATTCAAACGCTTCCTTGGGCGCCTGATAACGATCATCAATGTCTTTGCACATTAATCTGCTATCTCAAAACTAGATTGCCAGTACCTTTCTCCTTTTCCCTGTCTTCATTTTTGAGTATGTTTTTACTATGTGCCATTATTGTGATTTTCATCTGGGTTCATCGATTTGGATCTGTAGGCGGGAAGACCGTCTAGCACATTTTCACAGCTGTGCCAGTAACAGTGCCACACCGAACAACTCTTCGATAAACACTGCAGATAAATATAATGTATTAGGACAGACCAATCTTACCATCTGCCCATTTGTGCGCGCGGATCATGGCCTATTAACAGCTCCCTCCCCTCTCCCAGTGCACCAGACATTTATCCGAAACGCTTTCCTCTGTCATAGAGCCGAGCAAGGGACACGGTGTGCGCAGTTTCTATTTCATTCACCTAGTAGAGTTTTTGTTCGTTTGAACGTAGATACTTCGCTTGATAATCCACGCGTATAATCTTTTCGATATATCTTACCTCTTGCTGTCTTTTCCACGTAGAATGAAGAAATCTATGCATTATAATCACTGTCTAATACCTTCCTAGATGAACAATGTGCGAGTCCGTTCGAAAATCCTAATTAACAAGTGGCGAGTGTCATATATTCAAGATGTAATCAAATACCTGGGAACTGACTACTGTGCTCAACGTATGAAATGTATATTGTTTCCAAGGTTTAGTTACTTTCCGGTTACCATGGCCGAAGAAGAAGAAGAATGACCTTGGGGCCCACAACAAGAGCCGTTGGCTAGAAATTCACATCTACAAGATAGCAGGATCAAGCGTAGAGTTTGCAGTCCATCAGAAACCGATGTGCAGTTCATCGCCGTTGGGACGCGATCAAACGTTCCTAGCTATCCTATACACCTCAATCACCAATAAAACCGGTAACCATTGACGGAATCAGCAGGGTGTGGGCGTGACTCTCACATCTCTTCTTGGTTAACCTGAACTCAATTTTTCCTCAATTCGTCGATCCAGTTACAGCTGCGGATGCTGGCTTTTCTTCCTCTCAATTTAGCGGGGAAGACACCCCTGCAAATGAAGCTAGGAAGTTAGGCTTTCTCAGTACGGGCCATTTGAAACACTTGATCATTTCGTGAGTCACAAAGGGACATTGACCAGTCAAAATCGAAAACACCCATCCTTGATCCTACTGANTCCTACTGAGGCTTGCGTAGGTCTAGCTGTTGCTGGGGCTCCACAGACACCCTTGTTTCAACGGTTTTTCCCTAATCCTACTGGTTTATGGTTGGGTCTTCCTCATCTGTGGAACTTAATATGGAAAGCACCTCTTCACCTGATGACCAATACATGGTTGTTTCCAGATTAGGTCAATTACGTGATTTGTGTGTGTGTGCGTGTGTGTGTGTACGAACTTTGCTAACGAACGTCACTCTAACTGATCTTATTACCCCAATATATTCCTAATTTTCTGATCACCTTTAAGATGGCTTACATAAGCACAGGTGTTTACCATCACTCAATGTGTATCCCAACGCCCGGAGTAGCGTTTATCGTCTCTTGGTTTTCGCGCCGCGCGTGTTGTTGAGCATAGACAACAACTGTGTGTTTGTGCGTGTGTGTGCGCGCGATATGTGGCCAGATTTGCCTGATGAAATTCGCCTCCTGTCTCGATGTATTCTTTGTCTCTGTCGCCACCTTGGCGCTAAGCGGATCTCACGGACAAACAATTGTTCAGATGGATTGTCGACTTGTGTGTGTGTTTGTGTTTACCAACGTCCACTCATCGTGACCCTATCACGCCGATAGTCTGCTCTTAGATGTTCGCACCACTCGCACTGTGCGCATTCGAATACTCTCTGTTTGCTTATTCTCATGCACCGATTGATTACTACATGAAAGCTTTGTGAATCAACTTGCCTCATCTCTCAGTAGAATGGTGCATTTGCATTGAGTATTGATCAATCCACTGTACTGTATGAGGTACAATCTGGTGCCCTTGTAGTGTTAACCAGTTGTTTGATGGTAAATACGTTAACATGTCCCGGGTGAAGATCATTATTAAAAAATGCTTTTGAAATGAAATAAAGAGCACCCCATTACTGTTTCATCCTTGTGAGCTTTAAGCTGGGTATTATCTTTTTATCTCTGTCGGGACTGGATCAAATGATTAAAACCAGCACAGAAACCATAATACTGACCCTTCATATGTGTGAATTAGCATGGGATAAAAGTGACGCATGCTTAATAATCTAATCGATGGAATGTCCGAGTCCTGACAGGGACGCAAAATGTGCGCACTGTTAATGAGTCCCAAACGGGACAAAACTGCTATCCAGTTACATTTTTCGGTCGTCAAGACCCTTTTCTAGATAGACAGAAAAAAAAATTGTTATTTACACCCAGCGTGTATACTGCTTCATCATAGTCTCGTGTCACATGCGTGTTCAGTGCTATTAGCATAAACCAAGAGATGTTCTGAAAACACTTCTTAGTCGTGCAAGAAAAATGGTGAAGCTGAATCATCTGATCTACTTGTACCAGGTGGAGTCATAATCACCTGATGTTCTAAACGCATCCAATTTCAACAACTTGGTTAATTCCGTTTTTGCAAAGCTTTAGAAATGGTCCTAGCTTTTGGATGAGAGTCTACTTGCGGCAGTCAGAGAACACGCCTGTAAGGCTTGACTGACATCCGTCACACGTCTGTAACTCTTATCCCAATATGCTGAGAATTGTGCTTCACCAAAACTATCTGAAGTCCCAATACGTGATATATGTTCGACAGTTGCCTCAGCGCTACAGTGCCTGCAAACCTTATCGACTTAGACCCAGTGTTAACTTGGTAAACTGTCCAGTTTGGTCGATCACTTCAGTGGATGGATGCCAGTGTGCTGGGGTGATAACCGAAAATCATACAGGATGTCTGCAGCATGTCGACTCGGCAAATGCTCCTAATCCATGGCGAAGGTCTTACGCCTGTGATTGACACACACTGAGCTGTTCGACGAAATTTTGTTTGTTTGCTTCAGTCATTGTAAGTCTCGTTTAGTAGACTGAACCGTGATACTTTTGAAGAATAATTTCTGGGATTTCCTTCGGGTTTTTTTCTTGTCTAATTATACCATGTTATATTTATATTATAGTTATATGTACATTTATGTTTTGCGTGTATTCTAAATTTATTAGTTATGTATTTTCCATCTCATCTACGGTTGATCACGGACTCTTATTACCACATTCATCTCTCAGATATTTTTTCCCCAACCTAATTGTTATCGCTTTTGTCTTCAATGTTTTTCGCCCTCCCCTCTTGTGTACTCGACACACACCGACAGAGCAAGCCCGACGTGACGACATGGAGTCTTTGGGCTACGTCCTGATGTACTTCTTACGTGGATCTCTACCCTGGCAAGGATTGAAAGCGGGCACAAAACGACAAAAATACGAACGCATCAGTGAGAAAAAAATGCAAACCCCGGTCGAGGTTCTGTGTGAGGGTTATCCGGGTGA